GTGAAAGTATTTCGTTTTTCAATATATATACGTAAGAATGTATGAATAACTCGCAAACTATACCCATTATAGTTTTTCAGAAAGTATGTTCCATTTGGTGAAAATAACTTGGTAAAATACTAAACTTTATACGTAAAGCAGGATAGATGTTGTATTTATAACGATACATTTTCTTTTATTGTACTTGTATTCCCCCCTAAAACATGAAAATACTTGAAAAGTAGGGTTATGAACTCGCCTGTTTGGTTTGGAGAGAGTGGGACTAGAGTCGAGCAGAACTTCAACCGCGGAAAGTTGCATCTTCGAGCTTCTCGGGGATCTCGCTAGCGTAGAACCTTCGTCGGGGGCTCGGGTGTGGAACCGGGGTTGTCAGGATGGCCTCTAGTGCTTACAAGTGTGTGAGAGTGAGTGAGAGTTTGAGAAAAAGTGTCCAAAATCCAGAGTCCATGCTTTCTATTTATAGAGCTGAGGGCACGAGTACGCTGGGCATACCACCGGAGTATGTTGGGCGTACGCGTTACGCTGGGCGTACTTCGGTTACGCTGGGCGTAACTTTGCGTCATGGCTTACGACTCGGGTCTAGCTAGGCGTAGAGCTTGCAGCCGATGGGACTTGACCCTGAACCTGAGTACGCTAGGCGTACTCTTGAATTACGTTGGGCGTAATCCCAGCTTCAATCTTCTAAATTCCGTAACTTTTGCGTACGAGCTCCATTTTTCGCGTTCTTTATATCCACGCGTAGGTGAGACTATGCTCTACAACTTTCATTTAGACTCCGTCGGCTAGTTTTGAATTTATTTTTAATACTATGTTTTTAATAGGCCGGGACGACTAAAGTCCGTTAAAAATTCATAGCTTCTTTATCCGACGTCTGTTTTCGTTTGTCTTTTTATCATCTTACTCCCGATGTAGAGATCTTTATCTCTCGTTTAGGTTGCGTTAGCTAAATATCGTTCGATTTTCAATTCGAGTTTTTAGCTCTCTAATATCGTTACGAAACTTTGAAAATTCGTAACTTCTTCATACGAGGTCCAATTTGGGCGATCTTTTTATGCACGTTCACCGTTTAACGTAATCTATGACTTTTGTTTAGATACTTAAGGCTAAAATGCATTTTATTGAAATTTCTCATTTTACGTTTAATAATGCCTTACCGGGTGTATCGTGAATATTTGACTAGTCGAAATCTTTTCATTATAACTCGGTTTTGAATGTTCTTTATGTTTTTGGAAACCTTGGCACGATATCTGTCATTTGATGTATCCCAACTTTAGATTTTGAACATTTTATTTTTGAGGTTAATTCCGTTGATTCCAAATAGTTTCATTGTATTAGACTTTTGAGTGTTACATTGCTTTGGAAAAATATAGGGTTGTCACACATATCATCTGGTACCCTTCTCAAGAAGACAAGGAGCCGTACTAATAAGATGAATACCTAGTTCTGTCTAGATTTTGCTTTGTGATGTGTTTGCTTTTTTACCATAATTTAAATACTTTATATTACTACAATTTTTTTTTGTTATTTTAATTAGGAATTTAATGTATGGATTTGGATTTCAATTATTACTAATATGAAATTATGAATTTTGATATGTTTCATATTATTGGGTTTGGTTACTTTAATTTAAATAATTTTGATGTGTCTACAATATAGAAAAAACTAACAATAAAAATTGAATTATTCTGGCTTTAATATAAATTTTGTCATGTTTTATAGGCTTCCAATGTCTCTAAAATTATACAACGGTTATTTTACATCAGTTTTTAACGTATGACTAGATGGTTAACAATAGCCATAATATACAAGAATTATGAGTCTACAGTTGTTTTAAGATGTAGTTTTTTCTAAAGTTTTTGTGACTAAGTTAAACAATAACAACACGAAAAACAATTTATGTGGAAAATAAATACCATAATTGATTGCTGTTGTGACTAAATACTAGCAAATTGTCACTTACAAAATCAATTACACGTGTCCACTTAGCTAACATGGTCATGTTCACGTAATTATATGTTTCTAAAAGATACCCAATAGTCTTAATACGATATCGAATACTCATTAATTTTAACAAAATGTGTGTCTTCATACTACTTATAATTGTGTTTCACTTAATTGTGTGTCTCTATACGATAGACAATAGTCACAAAATTTGATTCTTTTTGTGACTGATTATAAGCAAATCACCACTTATGGAACTAACTACATGTGACCATTTAGTGTAGCACCTGGTTCGTGGTACGTGTTCTTTTTATTAAATCTTTAAATATTTTTGCATTTGGTCTTGGACTCAGCGAGTTGAAGGACCAACTCACCGAGTAGAAGCGGGATGAGGCGCGGAGTTTAAGTTGTGGACTCGGCGAGTCGAGTCCCGGACTCAGCGAGTAGACCCTGTTTGGGCAAAAACCCTAATCCGAGGGTTTGCACCCTATTTAAACACCTTAACTCGGACTCCTTAGTTCCATTTGCTCCCAGAAGACCCCCATAGCAAACCCTAGCCGTTATTGAAGCAATCTAAGGCTTTTGGAGTGATTTTGGTGCTTTTGTGATCCAAGGAAGGAAGGAAAAGCTTGAAGGATCAAGAGGAGGCTAGAAGGATTCGGTTTTGAGCTACATTTCTTGATTCGGAAGGTATAAAGTCTATACCTTGCTTGCTCTTTTGATAGATCCCATTTTGTGGAGTTTTAGGGCTTTTCTAAGCCATTTTGGTCACCAACCATGATTGCAAGCATGGTTTGAGGTTGATGTTTCGGATCTAGGTCCTTTGAGGGGTTACAATGAAGAAAGGAGTGGCTTTTGCACTCAAGGAAGGCCCCATGCATTGTGAGAGCTTGTTTTAGGACCTTTTGAGCTTAAAGTCTCATGCAAGCACGTAAAGATTGTAACTTTACGTGCTAGATCGATTGTAGAAGCATAGATCTACATTTTGATCAAGTGTTGTACATCAAAAAGCGAAGATTCAGTGAGTGGTTGTGACCAACTCGGCGAGTCCGTTCTTGGACTCGACGAGTCCAAGGTTCTGTCCCATATCAGTTAAGGGACGTAAGAACCTAGTTGAGTGTGGAAAGGTTTTAAGGGGTCCCAAGGAGTGACCCAACGTTTTGGACTAAGCCATTGTTCTGGAAATTCATGGGACTCGGCGAGTGCATGAACAGACTCGGCGAGTCCAAGGCAATCTTCTTAAGGATGAAGATGGACTCAACGAGTTGTTCATACAACTCGGCGAGTCAAGGGGAGGACCTGAGTATCAGTTGATGATGAACTCGACGAGTTGTTCATACAACTCGGCGAGTCAGATGAGAATTCAGTCGATGTTCATTTAGAAGGAAAACTCGTCGAATCATCGCCTAACTCGACGAGTAGAGACGGGTTTGAGGTCTAATGGAAGGATAGGGACTCGGCGAGTTGGCGAACCAACTCGGAGAGTCAGGTCAACTAGAAGTTGACTTTGACTTGGTCAGAGGGGGGGTAAAAGGATCATTTTACCCTAAGAGTAGATGTCAGCTTCTAACTAAGCGTTTCGTAGGAATTTTAGCGAGAGGATTTTCGGAGCAGCGGCAGCAGCAGTCAGAGGATTCCCGCATAGTTCAGCAGCTACTATGATGTGAGTTACCATCCAGTAGCAGTGGGTCTTCACAATGCAGATTTGATATTGTGATAGTGACACCATTCCTTGGTGATCCTAGAAAGACAGTGGCAAAACTTGTTAAATTGTCATCATTATCTTACATTGTATAAAAAAATTTATTATCATGGTATTTTCCGAAAGTTAGAATTTTCTAAGTATAGCATTATGTTCTATACCAAATATCTTAGAATATATATTATTATTTACATGTAGTAAACCCTAAATATAGTAACAGTAAACAAAATATACCAAGATGATGCGCGCACACATACACACAAATATACAAGAAATATGCGTAAAAGAGGCTTTCAAATGACCACATATGTGAAGATTCAATCATGAAGTGTCAAATCCATAAATCAATGTACATAGAAGATAGAAAGAGTCCCCATTACCTAGAACTCTGTTGATCGAAATATACCATCCCTCACTACCAACTAAGGAATATAAAGGATCATCAGTTACAATCAGTTCGTGTATATGTTAAAACATTAGGTTAAAAACGCATAAGTTGAATTTTAACCAGATATGTGTTCAATATTACAAATAATTCAAGATTTATCTATATCAACGCATTAATAAGAATATGTTATGAATATGAGTAGAGTGTTGGTAAACTGGTCAATGTTACCGTATCGAGCATGAAACACGTCTGTGTCATTTCAAACATTTGCTAATCATCCAACTAGTGACGAATTAGAGAAGCGATAAAACAGAGAAACTCGAATCGGTTGAAGGCATGAAGTTACTGTTGTTGTCAGGATCTAATCAAATCGTGGCTTTAAGAAAACGAAGTGTCGCAGATAGAGTAATTGTTTTCATGAGTTGCTCGCATGAATGTTTTGGGAAGACACATGGAAATAGCAGTAGATGACCTACAATTTTGGAAGAGAATCAGATGGCATATGTGTATTTCACTCACTATATAATTTTACATATTAAACTCTACACTTTATTAAATTTCATATAACTTAATGGACTGCCACATCATTTGTGTGTGTGTGAGTGGAGAGAGAGAGAGAATGTGTGTGTATGTGTGTGTCTCTATGTGTGTAGAGTTTAATGGAGATTAAACTTCTCATTCTTTTGAGTTTCATGTCATTAACCTACAATGAAGATTTTAAGTTTAATGATAGTAAATGAGTTGTGTTTATTGTTTATATAATACGATTCTTCTATACAACCATATTATATTTTAGTATATTTTGTTTGTTATTTTCTAGTAGTATCAATTAATGAAACAAATTTACTAATAACATTTACAAAACAATAGATTACAGTACAGAGAAGAGGATAAATAATGTCACATAAGGCCAAAGGAATAGACGGAATAGACACAATGGTACTTATCAACACACTAGGTAAAGACATTTCATATCGACACACTATTAGGTATACCCCTTCCAGTAAGCCCTTCTTCACTACTGGGCATCAGTAGGGTGTATCGTACCTTTGCAGGTCCATACCTATTCTTCAACCTCTCATCTTCATTCATCTTCACAATTCTTTCCTCAATTTCTTTAAGCCTCTCACCAAATTTTTCGAATGCCTTCAAAGGTTCTGCATCCATGGTCCACCCAGGACACTCTCTTTGCCCAAGGTATATCTCATCCGACGTATGTCTCGATAATATCTCAATCAAAGACACACTGATAAGCGACTGCAATTGAGGAGTAACGGTTTTCAAAAAGAATTTCTCGGGATCCTCTTCTAGTTCCTTGTACTCGAGAGTATTGTTTCTTTCTGGAATAAGCCTGCGGGTTAGAGTCGGACGATTGGGTGGATAACCAGCATAAGGGTATTGCCCAAAGTTTACAGCTGCGTGAAGAGCAGAAGACACCCATATGATTATGGTGCAATTGTCAATCAGGTCTTGAACCGAACTCACTGTAGGCCACCATGGCTCGTCTTTCAAGTCACCATGTCCCTCCTCTCGAACTTCCTTCCACCAAGATTGCAGTTCAGCGTCATTTTGCACCATGTTATCGTCTTTGTAATAGAACTTACAGTAATCCTCAACCCATGCTTTAATCGCTGACCAAATCTCAAGCCCATCTACAGCATATGGGTAGTCTTCAATCAGTAAACGAAGTCCATGACGAGAATCAGAGTCCTCAACAGCCAATCCCCTGTGTATTAAAAGCATCCATTAGTGAGTTATAATTAATACTAGCTAGTAATTATATTATACGACCAAAGTTCTTTATTTCTTTTAGAACTTTGGAAGAAAGAGAGTACAAAGGTTGTAGATGAATCGCCCACCTCAAGATAAGGTCCTTAGGGAGAGCCTGATTCGGGAACACCCAGTTCTTGTATATCTTGGAGCAAATTTCAATTGAATATGGACCTGTAAAGAAAGTTCTTTCAAGAATACCTCCAGCATTGATCAAGACAACCCTAGCAGATGCGTTGATGTTCATTGTATCACGGAAATGAGGATGGAGAAGCTTGTAGATGGGATGGAGCACACTTAACTGTCTATTTGTTGCTATAATAAATGGCTCAATACAAGCATGTGTATTCAACCTGTGAAATATGAATTCGATATCAATATATAGTTTAAGACTATAGAAAGATCTATATATGATCAACAATTAGTGTTAAAACTTTACCAGTGGCTGATAAGTTGATGAACTCCAGAATCATTCACTGTTACATATGTTTTGGCCAACTTCCAAATTGCAGCTTCCACACCATCTTTAGCGGGGGTGCATACTTTGTTAATGGCGCCAAGATGATCACCATCTGGATGAGGCAAACTTAACTCGATAGCTATTGGTTTTAAAGTTCCATCCGTTTGTAATAAGAGCAAAGTTCTAGTGGCGTAAATCTTGCTGGAAGTTTCATTTAATCGCCTCACATATGGCATCAATGAGTCATGATGATCCAGTATAAATAGCCTATTTGCTTTTAGCACCTGTATATGACAAGTGTAAATCATATTTTAGCTTTCAAGTATAGTAACATTACACTTTATTAGGTCAAGGAACCAAAATTAAGACTTTAATTTATTACCTCCTGTACATCTACACCATCAAGATGTTCCTCTATGTGATGTGATCTTATTGAACTAGTTTGGTCACCATAGAGTTTTTCATCCAGGTTGCTTGTTGGAGGGAACTCCTGTAAAATTATGATCATCAAATTTCTGTCATTTTGAAACGGACATTAATTTATTATTCTTAATTTGTTTGTTTGAATATGGATGAAACCTAACGAAATTAAACTAGTCAAGTTAGACAAGTTCATATGAATGTCTTATATATGTTTTCTTGTGTTGGAAAAATATGATGCCTTAGAAAAGCTAGAGCTTACTTTCAATAGTTTGATCACAACTGGGTTGAGTCCAGCCACCATTTCTCTCGCAAATTCTTCATCGGTGCTCCAAGCCAATGGGTCAGCTGGTTTAATTACAAGATCATAAAGAATATTCAAATTAAGAATTACAACGTGGTGTTAACCCAAGGTACATAGTTTAACAAACATGGAGTGTAGGGGTGCAAATGAGCCAAGCTACTTGCGAGCTACTCGGGATCGGCTCGTTAAAAACTCGACTCGAAACCAGTTTTAAACGAGCTCGAGCTCGAGCCTATGTTACTAAGCTCGATTAGGCTCGCGAGCCTAAACGAGCCTTTATATAATATAACTTATTATTATTTTCTTATATTAAAATAAAAACATATTTGGAAAATTATGGATTTCGGGTATTAGTAAACGAACTTCTTAACGAGCTTGAGCCGAGCTTAAGCTTATTTAGGCACATCAAACAACAAAACGAGCCGAGCCTGAACCCAAGCCGAACTTGTGTAATTCTTTACGAGCTCGAGCCGAACTCAGTAAAAGAAAGCTCGAATCGAACCGAACTCGAGCTCGAGCTCGAGCCTCGTATAACTTAAACGAGCCCGAACCGAACTTGATCAGGCTCGGACTCGAGTCAGCTCGTTTGCACCCCTAATGGAGTGTATCACATTTGCAATAAGGCAATGGGTGTGTAACCTAAAAGCATTATATATATATATATATATATATATATATATATATATATATATATATATATATATATATATATATATATATATATATATATATATATATATTGTTTATATATCAAGGACACATTCATAATTAAAACATCCATGATACATGATACATAGTTCAAAGATATTTATTATTAGATACATTTCATAAATTATGTTTTGTAATAAAAGATTTTTATATATGTGTAATTGAATTTTGTAGAGTGTTTGTTATAAAAAAAAATGACGGTACAAAAAATATAAGTATAAAAAATATAAGCAATGCATTAAACTATATAAAATTATAAATTAATGCACTTAACATGTTGTATGTTGTTTTAAAGTGTTTAATATGTGACACATTAGTACCTTCGATGACTTTTGGTATCGAATATCTGGATAGTCCCTCTCCATCCGATCGAATAAGTTCTTTCACCACTTGTAAAGGAATGTCTTTTAGAATAGTCTCAAGTACAGGGCCTTCAGGAAGCTTGATTCCTCCATTGTAAAGCTTCATGAAATCTTCAAAATTGTCAAATTCGTCTAGGGTAGCGTCAGTTAGAGACTGAAACTCGGGGAGAAGAAACTTAAGGATGGCTTCTAATCCATAAGACAGAAAGTCAGACCTCTTCAAGTGCCCAAATCGCTCATCCCTTGGAACATATATCTTATAACTCTCAATGAGAAAAAGCCTGCTCTCAGTTTTAGGATCTACCAACACCCAAAAAAAAATGTTCTTTAACATGCCTTCAAAGTAACTAATTATAATCATATTCTCACATTATGATACTTCGATCTAATTAACTAACCTGAGTTCGTTGGTTTTCTTCCTGTTCTTCCCCTACGAGGGTAGGGATACTCCGATGACCCTCCAATAACAGGGCGCACATTCTTCTTATCATCTGGATCTCCTAAGTCATTGTACAAAGCATAATCATAAACCCTGTCCCATTCCTCAAGCATCCCAGTTCCATTTCCTCTCAAGATTTCAAGTTCTTGTTCTCTATAGTAACGTAGCAACTCAGGTGTCTCATCAGGAAGATATGCCTGCATCAATGTTAAATGATTGTGTTAAGAAAAACTCGAACTTATAAGGCTCCATTTTGAAAAACATATATGAAACCGGTCTATATGTACCTTATTAGTAAAGAAGACACGATCTTTGGTATAGTTTTCAACAGGATAAACCCATGAGTTACAAACAAAATGGACTTCCCCATAACCAGGAACATCATCGAGAGTGAGTGTCATGAGATAAAATTGACTGTGGTGAAGATTTTTTACTATAAATGCTCCTGGGAGTCCCATTTCTTCACTCCAATCAAATGTGACTTCATATGTTGATTCAGCGGCAGTGAGAGGAGTGATGGTGCTTATCCAGTCCTCCAAGATTGCTGGTTCCCCAAGCTTCCCTTTCAACTTTTTGTCTGCAACACAAAACCCTAAACCTGATCAGCATTTCCTTTACTTTCTAAATTTTGCTTTTGTTGGAGAAAAATAAAAAGAAAAATTAAACATTTTGTTTTTTTTTTTCGATAAATACTTCCAAATCTTTCCAAAAGGGAAGTCACTAGGAAAAGTAATTCTTCAATTTTCATCCACTTCCTTCGTTTAATAAAACTCGGGAATACTAATTTCTTTTATTTTTTTCTAACTTCCTTCAATTTCTTTTTTTTTCTCTCTCGTTAAATTGAGTTTGGGAAATGGATGTAAAGTCAAAAAAAAAAAATTCAATTTTCATCCATTTTCTTCGTTTAATAAAACTCGGAAATACCAATTTCTTTTATTTTCTTCTGACTTCCTTCCATTTCTTTTTTTTTCTCTCGTTAAATTGAGTTTGGGAAATGGATGTAAGGTCAAAAATATTTTTTTTGTTTTGACTTGAATTTTATGTTAGAAAGTAAAACGAAATGTAATATTTTTATTTGTTCAAGGGATTTCAATTCAACATGGTAAAAGATACATGGAAGATCGATTTTGATCTGCAAATATTCTTAATTTTATTTAAAATACATTTTGATACTGGATTTAAAAAAATTATTTACTAAAATATTTATAAAATAAAACATGTTGTATAATTTGAAAGGGTTAATGTTATACTCAGCTAGAATCTAAACTGCATATGCATGCACATGCATATGCAAAGAGTCTTGATCCATTATTATGAAATTGAGTAAAAAGTTTACAAAATGAAAACAAAAAATTTCTGTAGTATGAAGTCATCATTATTGTATTTCGTAAAACAAGTTGGCAAAGTTCAATTTGGGAAATGTATGATTATTTTTGTGATAAACAGATAGTCATTTAGTTATAGATAGTACTCTCTATATTCTTTGTCGGTTTTGTGAATACTTGTATATATTCCTAACGTGTATACATAATAAACAAATTAAAAGTCGTCTTAAATAAACGTATAGTTGAAAATTGGACAAACTAAAATCCAGGCCAAAATAAATTGATCTATATGAAGCCAAAGTCATACGTTCAAACAATTAATATATATCTTTGATTCTTATACATCGTGAAGAAGTCTTATATTGGCATCAATTTTAAACAGTTTACGATTAATAATCACTTTAAACTATTATGAAAAAATTTAAAAATTAAGATTTCTTGAAAAAAAAAATAAAGTAATTAGTTTAAGGGATTTTTTAATATGTGATCAAAAGCACATATAAGAAGTATTAATTAATGACATATATTACTATAATTAAATATAAAATGTATTAATTATAAGGAATATTACCTTAATTAAATGTAACATGCATTAATAATCTCCATAATAAATGTATTTTGAATTTAATTATGCTAATATTTTTCATAATTAATACTTCTTATACGTATCCTTAGGGTGCATATTAGTTTAATTATGTGCAAATATGAGATAGTGCTAGTAGGTTTATTTGTCACCTATATTATATAAACAAAGACCCTACCGGTCATTAAATAATAGGAGTAGTTATTGATGCATGTGAAATCAAACATTCTTTATTTGTATTTGCAGGTTGTTCATTATTAATTCACACATGGCACATTTCAATATTCCAAAAACATTTGGTCAAATAAAAACTTAATGCAATTTAGGAAAGGATTTGTACCTCTCCACACCATAACTACCTTATAATAATAACCAATTCTATTTATAAATAAAGATAAATCATATGAATGGTGATCAAGTCAACTCATTTTATAGCCAACACGAAAAGTTGATGGTTGAACACTACGGATATTTTTAATGTGTCAAAGTCTTTACCCTGAACTAGTTTTATTTATAGACAGATAACAAATCATTTTATAAATTTGTCATTTTCTTGAAACCCAAAATGGTATATTGCCAAACAATTGAGGAAAATATTTATTTTAGTTATAATTTCTTTTTCTTTTAAGGTCGTTTAACTAGTTGTTGGAATGTTATATCGTTGTGAAGGTGGACAGTTGCTGAAAACACGCCCTAGCTAAATTTCTTTCAAACACACATAGACTGATCACTACTAGCAATTAAGTAGTCAACTCTATACCAGTCAATTTTTCACATATATAGAAAAAGTAGCGTTTAGAAAATATAATAGTAAATTAAAAACTATAAAAGTAACTAGGGTTCATATTTCGAATTTCCTTAGTAGCTTTTCTACCTGAATCAAATACAATCAACAAAAGCTAGCCTATGTACATGGCAGACTCAACAAATTTCAAGCATATTCCATTGGCATCAATTTGTTTTTCTTATAGAACAATGATTATCATATTGTTTGTATTGGTAGTTAACGAGGCAACTAAATACTAGCAAATATTAAAGAAATAGCAAGTCCGTGTATATGATATAGAAGAGTAGGCAAAATCTGAGAAATTTAACCTGACGATCCGTCATCTGCATGAGTTGCACTTACGAACTGGATAGATATATGTTGACCGAAAAACTCATGAGCTCGATCAAGAACGGAGGCACCCAAGTCATTGAAATCGAGCAAGTTCTTCTTCATCAACACCACTTTCCCTTTAACAATAATTTTCTTGCTCTCATGTTTCTCACCGAACACTAACTTCGCAAACTTACGAAATAAGTTATCCATGCACGTAGGTTTCTCTGTGTGGGTTTCTGTGTCGGTATCTCTACTTTTCTTTGATTCTTTCTTTGGTACTTCCTTTTTAGAGATGAATGGACGAAGCATGAGCGCGTCAAGCTGTTACTTAAAAGCAGAGAGTAGAAGGTATAAACCGTAAGGACGCTAATAATTTGACATTTATAGGCCTGAATATGCAAAACAAAGAGGGTAGATATCCCTCGATCTCTATCTTTTTGTTCCAGTCAATAATTTAAATTGAAGTCAAATTTTTAGTGTTTTTCTCTTTCTAAACATGTTACAAGTAGAGATTAATAATAAAGAGTAATTAGTCACTAAGCATATAAGCACATTATTAAGCCTAATCCAGCTATATTATATGTAATGTCTGCTGCACGCCGTAGTATTTAAACATCAACTTGCAATAATATATATATATATATATATATATATATATATATATATATATATATATATATATATATATATATATATATATATATAGGAATGACCATTTAAGAACTCATAGTATATATATATATATATATATATATATATATATATATATATATATATATATAAATATATATATATATATATATATATTTACTATCTTATAAAAGAAATCTAACTATTTCTAAAAATAGATTGATTATAATAATAATATTTTTTTAAGACGTCCAAATGATGAAGCTGATAGTACAAGTAACCATTAATAAAATAATATTAAATTTTAACCACATTTTGAATTCAAAAATTTATCATCAAATCTCCTTATATTTCTCACCAATTTGATATGGTTCCTTCAAGTCCCGGATTCATTCAAATTTTGAACCCTTTTAGATATCCTTAAATTTAGCATGTGGATTCAAATATCCCTTCAATCGCATATACCTCTTTGTTTCCTCCTCTGCTATAAAGCCCACCGTCCATGAACAAAAAATGATTTCATCTCCCAATAACACCATAGTTTGATTATTTTGTCTTCAACATGTACTTTTGTTTGTAACATAACATTTTTGTAGAGGAAACATATCGCCGAAAAAATTTACACGCACCGCCGTTTTACGCGGGTACACTGCTAGTATATATATATATATATATATATATATATATATATATATATATATATATATAGAGAGAGAGAGAGAGAGGAAAGACTATTTGAGAACTCATAGTTTCCCGAGAACCCGAGAACTAAATATGAAACTTTAGATCAAAAAACGGATGATCAAGATTACTTGTGGCATTTTTGTAAATAAAAAGAAATTTAAAGGGACGGGGGTATCTTAACTTAAAAGGACAAGGGTATTATGGGAAACACAGATGTCTGCTCTATCCCGATGAAAATAGCCCTAAATATGTCAACTTCTATCATCTTCTTGGCGTTTGTGTATCATATCATCATACCAACTGCCTCCATCTCCTCCGATCGCCATCATTCCCAATCCAAACCCTCGCCTCCGACCTTACGTCGATAATAACCTAATCATTCACGAGCATGACGTAGTAACCCTCGTCGTCACCAACGATACTCGAACAATTCATGAAGAAAGCACAAACTCGATTGGATTCATTGTGGACGATATGATTCAGTTTAAACCACAAATTCCTCAAAGTTATAACATCTCGATTGAAATTGAAGGTACCGTTCTACCTAACACCACTATCTGTTAATGGAAAAATCCCCAAATTAGTCTATCTCTCTCTCTATATATATGTTCTCTCTCTTGCTTATGTGTTCTTCACCGATACTCTCCTCCATGATCGCCTCCCTCCGCCTGTCAACAATCAAAAAACCTAATCTCTTGATTTGAAGGAGGTCGGTAATTCGTTTTATTTCACTAAACGCTCAACTATACGTCCACAAGATGTTGGTAGCATTCGCTAACAAGATGGTTATCATAATCAGAGACATAATTGAATTTGAGATAAACAAAATTCACAGGTGAGTATAGTTTCTATTTCTTAATTCACCTTGTTAATGTGTTATTTCACCGGTGGATGATCATTGATCAATGTGTCTGAGTTGTGGGATCATAACCTAAACGTAAGGATTTTTTGGGACAATATGTTTGAGCTGGTGTGATTTACACGTTTTTTTCCTCATTTGTTTTTACCGCTTCAATTCAATTCTTTGTATCTATTTTATAACTTATAACACAAACATTCTCCTTCATTGTTGACAGTTGACTAAATACTTACGTGATTTCTTGGAAGGAAAGAAGAGAATGTCATTGGTGTGCAATTCTTTTTTATGTCAAATTTGTGTTCTTCACTTCTTCCACCATTTTAATGCCAGTATTTGTTAACTAATCAACCATTTTGTTTAGATTTAACTGCTAAATCAGGAGAAGAAGATTATCAAGATACATCCTATATGTTGAGACAAGTTTCACCTTTTAAGAATATCAAGTATGAGAATTTACAATTGTAAAACATTTTGTGTATATTTATCATTTTTAAGCACGTAAATTAAAATATTGAAGATATTGACTTACGGTTTTCTGTTTTAGGTTTGAGAATATTGAAGAACAACCTATAAATACATATACATGATATATTCAACTTGCTTCATTTCTAATTTGATGCCGAACTTTCCCCAATCGCTGATGGTTTAGTCTGTTTTTTTTTTCATGAATAGTTGCCCCATGGATAAAGTAGATCAAATATTTGCACACTAGTTGTTTAATCAAATTCCTAAGAAGGATTTATACACGTGATTTACATGTAAATCACATGTGAATCACATATGTTTCACATTTGATTCACATATTAATCACATTTAATTCACATGTAAACAACATGTGACTCACATATGAATAACATGTGATTCAAATGTAAATCACATGTGAATAACATATGAATCACATGTGATTCACATATTAATCATATTTGATTCACATGTAAATTACATGTGACTCACATATGAATCACATGTGATTCATATAAATATCAAATGTAATTCACATATGATGTCATATGTAAATGTGATTCTTGTGTGAATCGCATTTGATTAATATATGAATCTCATGTGATTCATATGTTAATCACATGTAAATCACATATGTATTTTTGTGAATGTTTGCATCAATCATTTTTTTTACTTTTTTGTGGATTTGAAAGAAATTATGGTAAATATTAAAGAGGTGAAAAATGATAAATTGAAGAAAATATAGAAATATTGACACTAATACATGATAACGATTTGATATTTTTAGCATTTTTTTGTTTTTTATATTTTATTTTGTATCGAACAAAATACTTATTGTATTGTGTTTATAGATTAGTAAATAAAATGAGTTTTCTTATACTTTTCTTACAAATATTATAGTAGATGAAAGATGCATATATGCATTTGTAAAAATATGCATATATATACTTAAAATGTTGATTTATTTGGTTAAAAAGTTATAGCAATTTTTAAATATTCCATTTTTTATAATTTTATTGATTTTTAAATGCTTTTAAAAAATTGCACCTTTTTTTAAAATATTTTTTTTCAATTTTTTTTTTAAAAAAAAATCATGTTTTCTATAAAAATAAAAATAAAATCTGCACTTTTTTTAAAAAAATCAAAAAATACTATTTTTTAAAAAAATCCAAATTTTTAATTTAGTATGTAAATTTTTAGACATTTATATTAATATTTTTAATAACACAAATAAATTAAAAATTAAATAAGATTGGTAAGACGAAAATCATGCATTTAATGAATTAATTTTGATCTAACGCTCCACTATTAGTTCTAGAGTTCTCGGGAAACTGTGAGTTATATATATATATATATATATATATATATATATATATATATATATATATATATATATATATATATATATAGTTATAAAAGATATATTTTTGCTTGCACCATAGGCATTTCAAACCTACATGACTTTTCAATTTTTTTCTGATACGTTTTTTAAATTGGCTAATAATGTTAAAATAATGCAAGAACTAAATATGTCATATTTTACTTCTATTTATAAAATTATGACTTTAACTTTTTAACATATTATAGTTAACATATTGGTTTAGATATGTTGTCGTATTATATGTGAACAGTTCGCATTTTAAAATCATAATTTTTGTATAATTTATAATTTTACGCAAAATAGTTAAATTATTAATTTCAATAAAATGTTAAACGGTTAAATTAAATCAAAGTTTCAGTTAAACTTGAAAAAAATCTTAAGAATATTTTAAAAATAGTTAAAAGTTATAAACTATAATGTTAAATCTAAATTAAAATACTAAATTAACAAAAAAAAATCATGAAACAATTTTTTATAATCATTAAGAATTTCAAATAAATAGCTTAAAAAATATGTAACATCCTGAAAATTTAGACATATATTTTTTTTTTTTTGTTTGTTTAATAAATCGTTAATACAAATTATTTCCATAAAACCAGAGTAACCAATATTTAACAAAACATCATTAAATCAGAGTAATTCACATAATGCATAAACATGTGGTGTGTGCACTGCAATCATCCCGAGCTCTTCCATTTGAAAACTGGAGTACCAACCGTAAGCACAAAGATTAGTGAGTCCCCCAAAATACCATACAACATACAGTCACATGAAAACCATGCAATGGAAAGGAATACATGAATTGCCAAGGGAGTGGTCCAAGGACCGTAAACTCCAAAAGGTGTCCATTTCAAGCCCTAATCACTTCCTTAGCCCTTGAGTCGAGTCTAGCATAATTCCTTGAGTGATATAAGACCTTCAAACACCCAATGGCACCACAACCATGAGTTTACAGTCGTAAACTCATGGGGGAAATGGTATGAAAACCGAAAACACCCCTAAGGGCCATAGCTTGAAGAGTAAACTCCAATGTGAGCGCATACACCCTTCATATTCAATCCTTGGCACACCTAGCACTTGAAACAAAGTGTTTTCATGCGTTAAAGGGTCTTTACTTGCTTGATTAGTTATTAAATGAATAATTGGATACTTAAATGTATCATTACTTGTTAAATAGGATTCGCGTGTGTGATCAAGTCCTCACTTGACACTTAGCATCTTACACCCTCCGTTCATCCGAATCGCCCACGTCAGGTGAGTTCATACCCCTGAATTAACCTTTTAAACGATTTT